CATCTATTAGATATATTTATTTGTCTTCAGCATGTGCTTTTTTAAAAAAAACACCCTAGATATATAGATGCCAGCTCCTTTCTGGTCTAGATTGGCTCCCCTGACACAAATGGACTGCAAAAGTTTATGCCAGTATAATTTGTCCTCTATTTCTTAATTCATCCAGATATTTCATTCAAGAGTATTTCCCCTTTATTTTTTCCACTGATAATACCTTACGTTTTGTGTTTGCAGAACTAATTGTGGCATGGCGTACTTTCCCTCACGATGAGTGACCCCAAAAGATTTGTTGTGTCGATTACTTGTAGTCCCAGCATATCTTAGCATCTCTGTTTTGCAAAAGACATATGTAGTGTGATGCAGTGACTGTCCCATATGTCGAAAGCAGGAGCTCTCACACTGTTTTTGATTCAGGGTTAGAGGGAGAAATTGGGCCAAGCATCTGGACGCATCTGGCTTTGCACGGCCGTCCTTTCAGATTGCTGTTGGTCTTTTGCTTGTGGCAGAATCCTGATCTCACAAAAGTCATCAGAAGTATTTCTCCCCCCATTCTTGGACATCTTTACTGTCATCCTCTAAAATCAAAACCACTAACATCTTTGACAAACTTAGTCCCACTGCAGTGAGTCATTTTTAGGCCCTTAAGACCAAATGCATAACCTAAGTACTCACTGCAGAGTATCAGCAGGATTCCACAGCACACTGTGTTATGCAGCTGTCTGCCTAGTAAGCGATGTCGCACGAAATGACATTTTATTCCCTTTTCTTTATTAAGGGGAACACTTGACAAATGACAAACTATCCTATTGACTCAACTTCAGCAGGTGTTTCACAAGACACTGCTTTACGGGAAGCACAGAGCAGCGGCTTCATACAATCAGCATTTATTTCTGGAAGTTCTTCTTTTGCAAAGCAAAGATTATAATAGTTCAAAGAAAATAACCTGTGCAACTGTCAAAAGGCAAGGACGTACTCATCTTTTGAAGAAGTTCTATGACAAGGACTGCATTGCAATGAACGAAATTAGTTAAGAGCTTCACAGTCAGAGGAAGGGTGATGTTGTGGTTGTTAAAGCACAAGCACTTAATTAAGACAATTTGGGTCTGCCTTTTTTTATTTTTTAAACTTTGCCACTGTCACCTGTGTGACTTTCAGCCAATCACTTGTCTGCCTTTCTGCTCTACTCTGTGTGTGACTTTTGGCCAACCACTTGTCTGCATTTCTGCCCCACTCTGTACCTCTCTCACTTTGAAATAGCCTTTTTTCCAACTTTGTTGATTCTAACTGTCAAAATCTCGGTGCAGGCAGCAGCAGGAGCAGCAGTGAAGCTGGAATGAATGAAATGCCCTGGGGAGTAAGACATTAACCAAGCACCTGGAGTACCACCACAGGAGTTCTTGTGCTGTCCAGCACCTGCTGCGTGAAGCTGGATCCTCTCAGTGTTAAAAAAGTCCAAATGAAGCTGCACCTAGATTCTGATGTCTTCAACCATATTGAAGAATAAGTTACTCTCTGAAGCCACCTCAGTCTGTCAATAAAGCATATTCTTGGATGACACCAATTGTCACAGCTGCACTAAGGCTCAGCAATCACGTTCAATATAGCAATGACAATAAATCCCATTTTAGGATCCATTCCAATGATAAAAAATAAAGTATTTCCTCATATTTGCTCTGCTCTTTTCTTCCCTCCTCCCCCTCCTTATTTTTTTTTTCTTGTGTATGAAGGAAATAGCTTTGTAGGGAAAAAAACCCACCTCAAATTAAATGTCCTGGCACATAGATCAGCCTGCTGCCTTGCAGAAAGATCAACAGTTTTACCATTAAAGAAAATGTGTCTTTGCTCACAGTACAACCTGTGTGAAATTCTTAGTAATCAATGAAAGAAACACCTTATTAACAGATCTTTCATGATGGAGGAGAGGTTAGCTCAGAAGAAGAGATGGACGGCAGACTCAAAGAGCTAATACAAACTTCAGGGTTATAAATTGGGTTCTGAAGAAATTGTAGTGCATGCTTCATGTTGCTAGAAAAGATCTTGTCAGAAGTACCCATATCTTGATTCAAACACAGTCTTTGTGCTGCACAACAAAGCCATGGCATTCCCCAGAGAAGCCTCCATACTCTTCCCTCTATCTCCTTTAAATGAACAAAGAATCCATTTACAGATATTTAGTTTCAAAATTACTCAGTTTTGGCACTCCATCACAGTCTCCTGAGGGGACCAACAGCAGTACAGGGGACTTGCTTTCTGTTCTCATAAAACTCTGTCGTTGAGAGCTAGTCAATAAAATATTCTTTCAGTTTTTACTGTCAATAGTGATACATCATGTTTGCATCACATACGTCAAGCCAGGCAATCACAAAGCACTTCACAATACCTTATTTCACAGAACAGCTGTAAATGCACGTCCCACCCGTACAAAGATAACCCTGCAGCACTGAGTTAGAGTGGGGCGTGCACTGTCTGATCACCATGTCTGTTACCTGCACAGCCTGGATAATCCTTCAAATCTCCCAGTTGAGTGCTTACCCAGCCCAACTGGATTTAGATTGTAAAAGAAAGCAGGATTACATTATTCTTTACAGGATTTTGTAAACCATGAAATTTTACACTTAAATATTCCTTGTAACATGTATTCCTATGTTACAAGAGTGCATAACAATTCATGCATTTCTGAAAAGATAAATATACATCACAATATTGAAAGTAAGGTGTTAGCAACAAAAAAGGCAAAAGAAAAAAAAATCAGCTGTTTTTCTCCACAGGAGCATCAACGAGGTATAAAATAATTTTTAAAAATTAACCTGCACTAACAGGCATAGCAATAGTTGTTCCTTGCACATTGCAACGTCAGAGAGTGTTGCTGAAGTTAGAAGTGTTGCTTTGAATGTGAACATGGTTCCAGGAATGCATTTTGTCCCCCATACAATCTTTTGCAGTGGGTCAGTTTCTTTTTCAGCTGTACACAGCCTTTCTAGACTGAAAAAAGAGGAAGACTATTGTCCTGGTTTCGGTAGGGATAGAGTTAATTTCCTTTCTAATAGCTGGTACAGTGTTTTGGATTTACGATGAGAACAAAGTTGATAACCCACCGATGTTTTAGTTGTTGCTAGGTAATGCTTACACTAGCCAAGGACTTTTTAGTTTTCCATGCTCTACCGACCGAGAAGGCTGGAGGTGCACAAGAAGCTGGGAGGGGGCACAGCCAAACTGGCCAAAGGGACATTCCATACCATGGGATGTCACGCTCAGTACATAAACTGGGGAAAGCTGGCTGGGGGGCCGCTGCTCGGGGACTGGCTGGGCATCGGTCGGCAGGTGGTGAGCAATTGTACTGTGCATCACTTGCTTTGTGTATTATTATTATTATTATCATATTATTATTATCATTTTATTTCAATTATTAAACTGTTTTTTATCTCAACCCACGAGTTTTTTCTCACTTGTGCTCTTCCAATTCTCTCCCCCATCCCACCGGGGGGGAGGGGGGAGTGAGCGAGCGGCTGCGTGGTGCTTAGTTGCCGACTGAGATTAAACCACGACAACTATACATACAGGTATTATTTTGATAGTGTCTCTGCATATATCCCCTATACACAGGCATAGAGGGGATGGAGTGGAAAGAGTAGGAACTACACAGTTACTGTTATTTTCTCTGGAAGGGTGACTTGGAAAGAATAAAGAATTGGCTTTTCCTTTAGGACCAGCCACAAAACTGAGACAGTGTGGGTGAGAGGCTGGAAAATAGAAGTAAATCACTTTTCTTCCAACAAATGAAGGAAATAAAGGCGTTCCTTCCTTGGGGCAATCACATTTATACAAATTGGTGTGTAGAGACACAGCCTAACCCTACAGAAACAAAGTTCACAGTAATGAGTCCGGCTGCCTATCCAGGCGAAGTTCTCCTGGGTTGATGTGACAAAGACAACATTCATGTGGGCTACCACGAAGTCATATAAAAATTACCCTGAATTCCTGCTTAGTGGTTCCTACCACAGAAGACAGGAAGGGGAGAACTCCTTGACTTTGGACAGGAAAATTACTTTGGTCCTGTAGGCAGGGTGTATGTCTGAAACAATAATTTCATTAAGGCCCAGCATCCATTTTGTGAACCACAGCTACCCACACTGATCACCAAGGCCTTAAAATCTCATTTAAGTGTAATGTCCTCATTTATCAACTCTAGTTACCACAACAAGATTAAGGTTCCGGACTACTGCCCTGAACTGTCCAACTCTCTGGATAACTAAAATACTACTTTCATTAGAATTGCTTTCTAGAGAGGAAAGGATTGTCAGCAACTTCACTGTATGCATGATGATTTTATTGCTTAGGTGAGAGGCTGGGGAGTTGCCTGTTCTGCCACCAACAAACTGCGTAAGCAACTTTGAGAAGGTTAATCTCAGTTTATCCGTAGGCTCTCAGATGGATAGTGTGAGATTTGAAATTATCACTTTAAAGACTATAGATTAAGAGAGAGACTCAGTGGTGAAGTTCTGCAGAAAGAGGGCTGTCAGAGCTCTTACAGCTTCCAGATTTTGAAGGACAACGTGAACCAGTATTGTCAGTCCCATAATTTGGGTAATTAAAGGATAGCTCTAAGTTTATGCTTTGTCATTGACCACTGATCATTTGTCATTGACCTGTCAATGACTATTGATCACCCCGCTTACCCTCATGACATAAAACTGTAACATGAAGAATAAACAAGTTTACCAAAGAACTAGCTCCACAAATACTAACAAGTGCTCACAGAGTTCTGCCAGTAAGAGATCTCCTGCAATACATTCTGATTTGCCCTACTTACCTTCTAGTATTTCCTACTGGAAATCATTCCTACCAAAATTATATTCCTTGTGATATACACATTTGGTATACATTACTCTTTCGTTTAGGTTTTCCACTAACCATGTTAGAGAGTGTAACCATTTATATTACTTTAGTATTTCTTCTCTTCCTCTACATATTACACAACTTCTATGTTTGGTAATAATTACCTGTCCTCCTAACAACTTGTCCCCCAACTTTCCTACATGTGATCCATAGAAAATACTAGCCAAATCAATGGCTGAGCAAACAAAATGCAAGAATTATTTTTAAAAGTCCCACAAAACCAAAAATCCCAGAACTGAAGCCTCAATGGGCTTGATTTTGTAATAGCAAACATGCCCAAAGTGCAACAGTAATCCATGGTGTGGCTTTATGATACCACCAGCAAGGGACATGGAATGTCCTTTTGTTGTCCTTCACAAATAAATTACTAGTAAGAGAAGAATGAGGAAAGAATTGGTTACCTCGCTGAGGACCAAAACTTACTGTTTGATGAAGCTGAAGAAACATGAGTACTATTCTAGTTTCTTCCAGCAATCTCTCTATAAATACACAGTGCAGTAGTTGCACTTGCTTTCAGTTCACAGGTCACAAGATTATGAGCAAACTATCAGACACAACTTTGGTGTAAATGACAAATTCTACTTTGTAATCAACATCAGAGATTTTCACTTTTAATCTAGAAAACAAGCACCATCCTTTTGGCTTTTTTTAAGATATTTCGTTCCAAGTTGTTCATGCTCTGAACATCACTCTCAACTCCCTCGTAACTCTCCAGTCTCAAAAGATGTCTCCACCACCATGTTGCATATTGCTGCAGTGATATTTATCTGGCTAGCACTGATCAATGGAAGACTCCTAACAATACAGGGTTTTGCACGGAACATCACCCAAACCAGCCCATGCAGAACCACACAATTACCTTTCAAGATTCTTTAGAGACTATCAGCCTAACAGGTCCTATTAGAGCTTTCCAGGGCCCTGGAATGGTCATGGAAATTTAATGTTGTTGTGGTTTAACCTGGCAGGCAGATAAATACCACACAGCCGTTCGCTTACTCCCCCCAGTGGGA